CTGCACACACAGTGCGAACATCGGGAACATTTCACAGCAGGTCTATTAGAACCATACCACACGCAGTGAAAGGACCGTCAGGTGTCTACCCCATTTAATGGATTATATCACCTAATAATTTTCATTGGGGAGTGTGTAACGCCCTCTATGTTTCCTCTTCATCTTATCTTTAATTTCTGTATGTTTTAATTTTTCGTAAAATGGCAACACGAAAAGACTGTTCGAAAGATAAACATTCATTGGAATTTCGTTTTAAAAAGGCCACTTGATATTCGTTCCTATCCTGTTTTCTCGTTGATAAAATTGTTTAAAGAAGTTTGTTCTTTATAGCATATTAATAACACTTCTGATCTTATGCAATGCACTTCACATAGACTACCGGCTACAGATTCTTTATAGTTTCTGTGAAAAATCCTTAAATGGTCTGAGCTAAGGAAAATATTGCGAAAGTTGTGGATTTTACAGAAAGGAGGTGAGGGAAATGGATGCAAAATGAAACCATCTTATTCATCCAGTAATTGGTTAAATGTTTGCGACATCATGTATCATGTGTTAAGTTGGTGGTCTCGCTGGTTTTGAAGAGTAGCCGATTATAGATCTGTGAGTTCCAACTATTGATTTTTTCAATCAAGCACCCTGTAGTGAAGGGCCTATTTATTGTCCTTCAGTACAGGGTGATAAAGGATCCTGTTTGATTATAGGAAAACAGCACGTCCTTATTTACTGTCACTAGTGAACATTTAAAGCAAGTGTGAAGAAGATAACTCAGCTATATCCATATTCCAAGCTAGCTAGTTTCAACCAGGTGTCAGAATCAGATTTATTTTAATTGCCAGACTTGTATAAGCTTGTTGCATGAACAAAACTTGTTCATGAATTAGAAAAATTAATGGTACCTTCTGATTATCTGTTGCCCCTCCAGAGACATGGTTTCATTGGTGGCTTTGAAGAGCATTTATAAACTCACTGCTGACTTCGGAGAGAAATACTTGTGTTTCTGTGCATCTATTTCAATGATTGATCTATTGCCACCTATTTATTTATTATTTTTTTATAATCTTCTTTTCCCATATAACACACACTTCTTGGAGGTAATTACACCAATTGATAGTTGTGTTTGGCGCTAATCTCATTTCATTTTTGCAGAATTTTACTGATGTATGTTCCTTTGTCCAATAATAGATAAAGAAAACGGCTGTTTTCAAATTAGTTTGCAATCTGTGGTGTAAGACTTGCTTGCAGTTTTTCATTTTGCATTTCATAAAATTTGGTCTTTAAAAAAGTAAAACTTTATAGAATGTGGATTTGTCATTCTTTGTTGTTGAGTCCATTTGACTCACATTGAAGAAATGCAATGCTTTCCTTTTTTGTCAGCTGATAAACTCTGCAGTCTCATTAGAGTTCATTGCAATGAAAGCAACAGTGCTCAGTGCAAAAAAGAAATACCAATGATTAAAATAATCGTTGAATTTCAAAAGTGCAAATCCATATGTTCTCTAACACATGGCTGCCACACACATACCAGGGTTCAGGGTTGCTACATAAATAGGTATGTCGGCACAGTGCATTGCTTCATCAGAACTTTTTTGTGACTTTTCAGTAGAGCTGTGGATAATGGGAAAGAACCAAATCAACATGCAAGTTAATTTTTGGAAATTTTGAACAGTTTGGCCTTGACATTTTAAAGCATGTACATGCTTCATTAGTTTTATTGGCCATTATTTCTTGTGATACAATTGAGTGCATTACATACAACAGGACTTAAACTTACAAACCACTAATGTATGATTATAAAGCAAATAGGGCAATGCATTATGCCTCTTTTCCTTTTACAATAATTTTTAATTATTGGAAAAGTCAAACAACAAGAATCAGTGTAATATTTGTAAATTTTGCAGGACTAGTTTCGATGGTTTAACTACAGAATCATCGAAACTAGTCCTGCAAAATTTAAAAATATTATGCGGATTCTTGTTGATTGACTTCTCCAATAATCATTATTCAGCAGGTTGTTTTAACCTAAATTACTTTCTAGTTATCTGCAAATCTTGAAACGAATTCATCAGCTAATGTGCTGTGTCATTGAGATGGGCAATCCTTAATGCTTCATAAAGGTATTTGTGTGGCAGACCAGGTATTCACATAAGTGCAGATTTTGACTTTTCAAACTTGAGTGTAATTTTCTGCTCAGTGACCGTTCTGACAAATTTTTGACATGTTTGTATATCTTTCTCTTGGAAAGAATCATAATGGGACTAACGAATGTTAGCCAGCTGATGAAAAACATCACATTGTTTCAGAAGTATGGCATTTTGCCTTGCAGCAGATAATGCAGGAATTTGCATTTCATGAAGCTGTACTTTATAAATTATTAAATTTTTTCTCAGATGACACAGTTTGTGCAGTTCTTTGATTTTTTTAAAGCAAAAACTGATAATTGTATACATAGGAAAACAACAGTGTGTGTAATGCCAAATTTCTGCTTGTCTTTGGTAGTATATGCAGTGCCAAGTTTGTGCAATTTTCTGATGTATTGTAAATCGAAAATAATTATGTTTTATATATTTTCACTTAAAATTACCATCACAGAATTGCACAAATTTGGCATCCATAAACTTCGGTGCTACACACCGTCCAAGCATGCATATCTGGTTTGCCCATGAACATTTTTTTGTGACATTGTGGGTTGCTACAGCTATTTCGATGACATACTATGGCTACAGCTCGATGGCTACAGCTATTTCGATGAATAAATTATCAAATTTTTTCTCAGATGTCACAGTTTGTGCAGTTCTGTGATTTTTTTAAAGCAAAAACTGAGAATTGTATACATGGGAAAACAACAGTATGTATAATGCCAAATTTCTGCTTGTCTTTGGTAGTATATGAAGTGCCAAGTTTGTGCAATTTTCTGATGTTTTCTAAATCTAAAATAGATCGCTGTGTACATAGGGAGAAGAGCACAAGGGGAAAAAAAGTATTTTATTATAAATGTTTCTTGCATTTTAATTTTTTTTAAAACTTGATTGTTATTTTATGTAATTTTTAGTATACTGTCATTTTTCAAGATGGCTGTTGTATTTTATGTCTCAGGTTGGCAAAAAAATTTTCACCAGCGATTGGTGATTTTTCAGGGTTGGCTGGATAGTCAAAAAGTACCTCTTTTACATTCATTGTCTGTTAAAAAATCACATGAAAACTCTTTCATGTCTGTAATTAGGTTTGATTTCTAGGATTTTGATCTTGAATTACTGAATCTAAAAATCATTAACTGACATCAGGTTAGTTGGATTGATTTAGTTACTTAAACTGAATTCCATGGAAGGGTGTAAAGCATATAAAAAAGCCCTGGTACAGTGAGTTTTTAAGCAGCAGGTCAAGTGTTACTGGTAGGTCCCCCCAACAATTGAGAAAAATGTCAGCCATGCTGACTTTGGAAATTTAATTTGAACCCAGAAACTTACTTGCTATGCTTAAATTGTGAGACTAAACTTGTGCTCGTGATTCCAAAACAAGATGGGGATTTGTATTCTGCATTTAGTGAGCAGCACTATAGTAGACATTGCCTACATCACTAAGAAAGTATCCATCACATCTATTGTAACTCCTGATTCTAAATACGGTGCAGTTACCAAACTGATTGCCTTAAATTATTTTTAAAATTTTTTTTCAGTTTCCATATCATAAAATTTTGAATTCATTTCGTAGTACTTGGAATGTGTCATAACAACTTAGAGCATAATCTGTGCTGCTACAGCCATAAAAGGTGGCAAACAAATTTTTTTAGTAACATTTATATCTTCTTAATTGTTCTTTATTTTGAAATTCTTAATTTATAGCTTTGCTTTTTGGATATCACTGTTTCAAGTCAATATTATCCTGACCTATTATGGAGCAATATTTTTTTTCTAATATGAAAGGAAGTTTATTATTAGATTATCAGATATTTGTACAGAACAGACCTTCACATCTGACTATGAGGTTTTTGAGGAGAATCTGGTGATACGAACTTAGTTTTGGCATGATTGGTTATCTTTATACATGAAACACTGCAATATTTTGTTATAGGTCTACCTGAAGGTACCTTGTAGGTACTTTCTGATCATCTGCATCAATGAAAAGTATTCATAAGGGAAAGCTATATGTCATCAAAATAGTTGTAGCAACCCGCAATGTCACAAAAAATTTTTCGTGGCCAACCCAGGTATGCATGCTTGGACGGTGTGTAGCACCGAAGTTTATGGATGCCAAATTTGTGCAATTCTGTGATGGTATTTTTAAGTGAAAACAGATAGCTGAGTTCCTGGGGAGGAAAAATAGAAAAAAAAAAAAAAAAAGAATTTATAAAAAATGTATTTGATTACTAGTGTTTCTTGCTTTTTTAAAATTTTATTTATTGATTGCTGTTTTATGTCGTCATTTTGAAAATGACTGTTGCTTTTCGTACATTAGCTTGGCAAAAACATACCTGCCAACAAATTCACGAATTTTCAGTGGGGATGCAATAAACAAAAATTATTGTTTCATATACACATCACTGATGACTATAAATGCTGAAGGAATGGTATCCTATATCATGCATCAATGATCCCTACAGAAATCCTACCTTATACTTATTAATGATATCTTGTCCTCTTTATCCATCTTAGTGTTAAATAAGGTTTATTGTCATAGTCAGCAATTATAAGAAAGGTTACAGCTGAAGTACCATCTAATGGATGTAATTGCAATTAAAAATTTGCATAAAAAGTTATTAAAAATGAGCCATTTATGTTATGTGTTTATGTGCTAATTGTATTAGTACTTTTTTTTAAAGTCTTTGGAAATGTTTTTTGGCTTTTGAATCACCTCATGTATATTATATCAGTTTGATGATAGTAAAATGATAAACCATATAAGTGCCATGTAAGTGTTAATGTTCTAAAAATTTCCAGAATTTGTAAATTTGATGCATTTTATAAATATGAAAGAGGAATTTAATTTTTGTATTTGTTTTTTAGATGACTAGAGCAAAGGAATATTTTTGCCTTTGAAAGTTTCAGATATGTTCTCCATCATGCAGTTGACAACAAAAGACATTTCTTTAACAGCTTTCTCAAAATTATGCATCCTCATTCCAAATTTAAAAGTAGCTGTACTGCAGTGTCATTTGTTCTTTCCTTCCTGATATTTCATAATTCCATCTCTGTTCAATATAAATACTACACAAATATTAAGTGAGTACCTTTTTAATGTGTATATGTTTCTATTTACAAATAGTAAAATTTTAGTAATATTTATTTCAGTTGTGACATTGTTTACATTTTTGTAAAATCAGTCAAAAGTTAATCTGAAAGTTATGATACTTTATGTCTTAAGTTCAGTTGTTATTCTGATGCTTAAGTTTTAGCACAGCCATCTTGATGTGGTTTGGTGATTCTTTACTGAATTAAAAGAATGAGAAATTATGATTATTATGTATATGCCAGGGGTGGCGAAGCTCCTTGATAGTCCGAGCCGTTTTTCAAAATTTGAAATTTTTCGCGAGCCGCTATTAAATACGTATTTAAAGGGTATTAAAATTATTTTTTACAGAAATTATATTTACTTCTTATTATACCTTTTTGTAGATTCCATACTAACATTGTATATGCATATCAGTTTTTGGATCAATAAAGTTGTGTGTATGATTGATTGTTTCATGCATAAATCCAGTTTCATCTAGTTATTCAATTTTAAACTTGGACCATTAGCCACAATAGGTGATATTTGCTAATTTTTTCCCCTGCATTAATCTAGTTGCTGTTGTATTAAGGAAATTCATTTTGTTTCAAGGGAGATTATTTCCTGAATATATTGTGATGGTAAACAAAGTCCGGCAGTGTTCTTTCAGTTTTTAAACTGAATTTCATTTGTTTCAATGATTCGATTTTTTACTGCCATTTTCTTTCTTTAGTTTCTTTATTCAGAATGAAGATATTTTATATGTCATTTATTTGATCTATTATTATCTTACTCTTTTTAGGTTAATTTAATGCTGATCAGATCGTTGCTACAGGGATACGTAAATCTAATTGTTATAGTGAAAGGCATACAACTATTGTCAAACCAATTACTGTCTCAAATCCAGATATATGAATTATAATTTTTCACATTGCATTTATGAAAAGTTTGTTTCTTGAAATATAAGTTCATCAAACATGAATTTAAACGTTGAGAATTTTGCTCCAAAATCCAAAATACCATATTCATGCAGATATTTCACCTTATTTTCTTTCATTTCAGGAAAATTTTGGAAGCATATAGTGTAAAATTTAATGTAAGCATTTAGAATTTATTGCAAACTATCATATTCCTGCAGGAATTTTACCTTTCTCCCCCTCCCATAGTTCAGGCAAATTTCACAAGCATCTATTTTGAAATTTAGTTTAACTAAAAAAATATTGTGATTTGTTTGCAACAACTATTAGAATGGAATGCAACAAAATGGTAACTTAACATATTAAAAATGAAAAATTGCTTATTAAATCGAAGTTATATAAAAATGTCATTTGGTGAAATAAAATAAAATATTTCAACACAAAATTTAGCTTGTTAATTTAGATAATCAGGTAATTTTGATGTATCTTGATTAATCATCTAATGACCAGGCGACGTCTTAAAATAAATCCTTTGCTGATATTTTTGTCAGGTATATAATTCAAAATTCCTCTTATCGCTTCCATAGTTTTATCTAAACATTTCATTTATTTGTCCAAATTACCTAAGGATTTGCAAAAGTGACTGCTAGCAGGCAACACCATAAAAAAATAACTGCTGTGTATTTGAAGGTGAAGCTCTGATGAATTAAGATTTTAAAACTGTTTTATTAAATATGCAGACTGCCTTTTTGTTCAGACCACTAATGCGTATGGCAGTCATCTTAAGCCTTATGACTTTTTTATGAAACTGTTTTTCCCCAAAACCTTCTCTATAGAAAAGAATAGTTAATGTTTTCTTTCTTTTACAGTTGGAGACTACTCTAAAAGCTATCGTAAGTAATTTATTTGTTTGTGTACCCACATTTCATCCATATACAGGGACATTTTTCAGAATTAGTAATATATTTCATGACTACCATTCTCCTAGATTTTTAGCACACCTTGTGGTCTCCAGGAAGAACTGAATCTCATGCTTTTTAATTTTTAGCCTTTACTACAAAAAGTGTTTTTCATCAATAAAATTAAAGTATGCAAATAAAATTACAGTTTAAGTTTCATTATTGATTTAATGAAATTTAAGTTGTGCAAATTTCATTCTCCCATTCCCCACGAACTTCAGCATAATATTTTTTATTAAATTTTACTTCGACAGAATATTCGTGATCTACTATAGACATTTATAGAACTTTATATGAAGATTATGTTTAATCAGTAATATTTGTATTTAATTTTTTTAGTCAATATGTAGTGTCATTAAGTGTGTTTAGGAATAGGAAACTTGAAAAATATTCATTGCCTTCACTGGGATCTGAACTCTGGACCTCCTGATTGCTAGCAGGGTGTGTTTTCAGTTACACCACAAACGCAAAGGATGCTTTGAACCTAGTTGCCAGATCCTAGTGGTGACAGGTAGGAGGGAGAAAGTATCTTACAAATAATATGATGCATTACTAAGTTTATCCACACAAGAGTATGTGCTATAATTAATAATTTTATTTTTACTGTGTTTAAAAGTACTTACAAGTATAAACTGAAGCTTTTCTTTCCTTCTCAGTATTAAAGTTAAAGAAACAAAACAAAATTAGCCAAGAACATAAAAATTAAACTATGCAATAAACATATTTTACATGACAACCACAGTATAAATACTTGAATGAACTGAATCATGCATTATAAAATGAATTGAAATCAATTTTGAGCTCTTTTGAGATCATGCCACCACACAGCATGAAAATCTTCCAGAAACTCCCAGCTTTTGGCAGGTGAACCTCCCGGTTTTTCATTTACCGAGTTTCATAATCACCTGATTTGTTATCATATATGACAATTTGATATTCATGCATGTGAACTTCAAGTACACTATTAAGGCATAAAAAAGTAATTCTCCAGCAGTTTCAAGGAATCGCAAGTCATAATAAAAATGATTTCTTTATATAAGAAGAAAGAAACATGCTTTAGTAGAACAAAAATAGTTTGAAAAAATCAGAAATGCTTAAAATGAATGAATAAGCTAAATGTTTAAAAGACAAAGTTTTTAATTCAGTCCTTTCAAACATAACTTTAGTTCTACCTTCTAGCTGTGCTTGCTACAGGAACATTTTGGAAGACAGATTAGTAGAACGGCAGGATGGCTCACAGGTGTCATATGCTGAAATCATCTCTCACTAATTTTATGCCATTTGGCAAATGTTTGATTAAGTTTTAGCACTCTGTTGTCCAAAAATACTATATTCTTCTTATAATGCTGCTGTTTGTCTAGTGAAACTTAAATTAATTGAAACTGATTCCTGCAAAACTGAAGTTTTGCTTTAGGAATTCATTTAGTCATGATATCCACAACCACAACCTGTTGAAAAATGGGAAATGTTCTTTGGTACTTATGTATTAGTCTGTAAACCATGAAACTGTTGCTTAGCGAAACAGTTTAGCACCAGTTATGAATAAGTGTGAAATTTGCATTTTCATTTTGTAACATTTTATTCATAACATTTGCACTTTTGACTGATTCTCGATAAACCACTTTTTGTTTTTCTAAACAAGGGTATAAATTATCTGTCATATCCCTATATTTTTCTTCTTGCATGAAAATGAGTTTGAGGGCTGAAGAGGCCAAAGAATGAGAACATGAAGGCTGAAGAATGAGGACATATGTTGAATGGTGAATAGAACAACTGAATATGGCTAACAAAGTAATGATAGATTGGAACAATCACGTGAGAGAAGTTAACTCACAGTATTCTAAACAGAGCTTCCAGAAGGTTTAATAAATTAATAGAAATCAACAAAACTGCTGGCACTAGTATTTGTTAATAAGTCTTTATGAAGTGCAGAAATGAAGTGTGTAGAATACTTCCGCAATTAGTAGCTGTTTGGTACACTGTATCAAAAAACTGACAAATATTTTATTGTTGAAGTTGCAGTTAGACCAGCTCAGTATTCTGCAGGAACAATTGCTTCAACTTTAGCGGGATCTCTGAAAACTTTCGTTCTCCAGTGGTAGCCAACTTTTACGGCTGGTGGGATAATACTTCAGTACCTGCTCTTGTTATACAGACATATATAAAATTTTGTGTCTGTGTATTTTATATATGAACTGCACTTTTCAAATTCAGCAAATTTTATTGTTGATGTATTATCTTCAGAAATTTTCTCGGTAGAAGTTGAAGGTAGATAAAACCTTCCATTAGTTTTAATATCCTTAATAACTCTTCCATAGTTTGCAAAAGGCCAACGTATTCGGCTACTACTGAGGATAAAGAGAGAATTTTGTTTTAAACCATGAAAATCAATTGCTATGTAATAAAGTTACAGTCCCTGATATAGATTTTCTGTCTTAAATGTTTTGCTCCCAGTAAGCATCTGAGTAGATTATAAGACTTGGTTCTACACTTGAAGAAATATGCAGAGAAAGATTTTTTTTGGAGGGGGGGAGGTGTTTAAATACCTAATGATTCTTTTTGTAGTATCCCAGTCTTTTTGCTGGGGATTGTTACATCTTCAAGATGTGATTTGAATCTGCAATGCGTGATGTTACGATAGACAATATGTACAAAAGAATTTCATTGCAAAATTTATCATTTAAAGCAAGAAAATTTTGTTTGTTTTCTAAACTAGAAGGTTTTCTGAAGTCTACTAATAGGTTTTTGTGCTTCAAATTGAAATTGCTTGACAAGTTGGTTTATTTTTTATTTATTTAGCTAAGAGATAACTTTCATCTTTGTTTTGATTTATTTTCATGCCTAAGACTGCATTCAGACGGTGTGATAAAGGGCATAGAGGCATAGTCATAAGGTCATAAAATATGGGAGTTCCGTTTACACCTGCGAGTTGGGGTCTAGGCTGTGGCCAATGAGAGAAGCTAAATTTGCACTTGCGTGTACGTGTGCATGCGCGCTGTTTTCCCACTCGATTGCTTCTCCCGCGTTCACTCTGCTTGTTTTCATTATTTTGTATCGTGGCTTTTTCATCTCATCACAAAGTTTTATTTGCTCAACAGAATGCCCTTTTATCTGCCCTTCTTATTAGCCAATAGGCAACGGAAGAAGGTAAAAAATCAAAAAGAACAAAATGGTCTAGAGATATTTTTTTGGAAAGACCAATACTTGGTTGGCACATACTTCTGTTCAAAGTAGTATGGAATATTTCTGCATTGCAGTGTAGTACTCTCTATACTATAAACATGCACATGCATATTTATATATATAAAGCCTTCTTCAATTTTTATATGTAATTTCTCTTAGGAGAAGTATGATATTCTAAATATGCCTAATAAAAAAAATTTTGAGAATAAGTGACTGATAGCCTGTATATAATATTTTTCCATTTTTCAGGTGTGAAAGCAGTTAAGCGGAAAACAGTGCTTACCATCCATTATTTATTTTTTTTTTTTAAATTTTCAATCAAAAGGAACATGTTTCTGTGTCTAGCACTCCTTATTCACTGTCACTGTCGATCACTACAGTAGTTGGCTGCACTACCAGTATCAATTATTACTAGTACTAGTATCCCACAACTGGTCACCATGACCAGCAACTATAACTAAACTTGTACAATACTATGAAACATTCACCCAACAATGTATTTTATGCTCAGTCATTAAATACATTTTGCTGTGTTGCCAGCTGTTTGTATGCATCTATTTCTAATCATTTGCATGTATAAGCCGCACCCCTGAATTTCATATGCTTTTTCTGAAAAAAAAAAGGGAGGGTTTACACTCGAGAGAATACAGTACAAAGTAAACACTAGATTTCAGGAATTTTTTCGGATAATTCTGCAAAGTGATTTGTTTATATCACAGGAGTAATTCAAATTAAACTCTGCTCTGCTTTGAGATGACATAGATGTAAGTTTCATCCACATCTGTTGTCAAAAGTAATTACTTTTAATTATTTTTCATTTGCTGACAGATTATGACAATTCTTTACTCTGGCAGACATGCATATTAAAGCAACAAAACGAGTTTAATTTCAACATATGCTGTCATTTCTATTTACGACCATTATCTCAAATTTACCAGAGAAATAGCATGAATTTAATGATCAAAATTCCATTCAAATGATATTAATAAAAGTGGATAGTAATAACAAATACTATTCATTAAATATGTGTGTTATTCAGTTTCATTAAAAGTAAATTCCTTTCATGAGAACGTAATTAAAAAACAGAACAGAACATCAACAGGAAACAAAACTCTCTAGACTGTTGACTGTCGTTTTAAAGATATTTCACTACATTTTTTCCTTTTTGGACTTTGTAAGAGCATTTTCTCAAAAGATTATTTTTTTATTACTTATACAAAGCTTGCACCATTCAATTGACTATTGTGACTATTCTTGAATAAGTGAAAATATTTTTTTCTTTTTTTTTTTTTTAAGAAATATTATTACTGTTCCCCCTTCCACCCAAAAACAGCAGATTCTTGATATTGATTTGATGTTTTTAGTAAAATTAATTCATGAAGTTTGTTTGGAAAGAAAATCAGCATTTGAAGCAAATAGCAATACAATATTTCCAGCTTTTTCAATAAATTTATTCTTAAATACAAAAATAATTAACAGGAAGAAAATGATAGTAATAATTTCTGCAAAAATAATAAACAGAAAGAAAGTAATAATAATGAATTACATGGAAAAAATAAAATTTTTGCAGGCATGCATTTTTTAAAGAATTTTCATAATAAAATGAAGAATAATGGATGGGTTCAATTATCTACAGAATCGTACACAGCGTGCACGATCCTGAGCTGAATTTTCGCTTTACGACTTTCATCCATATTTCTCAATTTATTGTGCAAACTCATTAACAAATGCTGCCATCATCGTAGATTTCTTGTGAGATCAACTCATTATTTTGTTCGGGTACAATGTGCTCCATATTAAAAGTCGCCTTCGATGTGACAGCGAAATCGTGTGCAGAAAGCTGCTTCGTTTTAGCTTCGCTCTGATTGGTCAATGCTTATCCGAAACTCAGCGTAAAGTTGAAAACTTGGAACCTTACCCTACAAGCCCTAAACCATATTTTGTGACGTAGCACAGACTGGTTGTCTTGGCAATGGAGCTCGGCTTCAACCACTTATGCCCTTTATGCCTTAAGCAAAAAGTGGCACTTGGACTAGATGGATACATTTGAATGTGCTCCTCAAAACAGAATAATTACACTGCTTGAAAAAAAAAATACATATTATTTAAAGGAAGGAGTGGAAAAATTGTTGTACTTTGCATTGTTAGATGTATGTTTATTACTGTAACTGCTTCATTTATTTTTCAGCAAATAATCTAAATTCACATTAAAAATTTTAAGTATTTTAATCATAAAATGAAACATTTCCTTTTGCTCTAATCATAGCAGATATTTCATTCATAAAAGAGTAGAGCATTGTTTGCATAAAAACTGTGGTAATAGGTGAGGGAGATAAACAAAATTGTTTGGAAACTTAATGCTTGAAATTTTGAATACTAGGTTTAGAGACCAGATTAACAGTAACACTGCTGATTATAAGAAAGTATTCATCCCATCATTAAGACTTAAAACTCTAGGGTAAGTGGGTTAACACAACGGGCTGCACAATTTGCAGAGGTGGGCAGGACAATGCAATGCAGGGAAATTTACTATATTAAATTACAATGGAACATTTTCCAGACCAGTTTTTCATTTGACCTCTTATCATCGCAGACAGAAATTTGTTTCATTGAGCTACTAGGTAGTGGGTTAGAAATTTGTTCTGTTCAAAAAAAAAAAAAAAAAAAAAAAAGTTTATCTGGAAAAATAATTTAATAATTTAGAGCCATTAAATGACACTATAGGGTTTTTGGAGATGTATTTTGTACCTAAATGATAAAGTTCAACTGAATCACTATTAAGCCATTTACTTAAGTTTAACCTCTTAATGCAGTCAATCAAATTACCAAATTAACACAGGTATATCAAACTAAATTATTTTGGTTTACTTAGGTAAATACATTCAGGATTTGTTTTTCCAAATATGAATACAACAGAATTATCTGCTACAGTTTTTAATTAAAGAAAAGTTTGACTTAAAATAAAGAGTAAAAAAAAATTCCAGAAAAAAGTGTGTGTGATTATGGCAAAGCCTCGAGGGCTATCTGCCTAAGGGGAGGGATGCCTTCGTGGAGGACTTTCTAAGGGAAACTGGCTCGTATACACATTACACATGGGGAAAACCACGAAAACGCCCATGCAGCCAGCCCGTTCGCGGGATTCGAACCTCAGACCGAACTACCAGTGTTCAGCGACTTTATCGCTCGGCCGCTGGTGGGCCCAGAAAAAAGACCACTATCTGAATTTGTATTGGTACATTAAGGGATTAAGGTGAAGTCTAACTTAAATGATGCCAAAAGTTTTATAATTGCATTCATTACTTTTACAGGATACTTTCCCTCCTTAGCATAGATTTCGTGTGTTTAAAAGTCTTGCTCATTGTTATATTATATGCACAGGTTATTGTTGTGACTCATATGACTCATATTGCACCATGGACAGCGATATTCATTCAGACAGCAGCTCAAGTTTAGATGACTCTGGAGACAGTGCTGATGAAAATGATCTTGGTGAAGCGTGCTCTTTTAAGAGAAGGGTTCTTCAACTGCCTGAATGCTTTTGTGCTGAAGTAGGATATTTTTTGTCTCTAAATTTTCAGTTGTTTGGAATGGTTTTTCTAAGGGGGGGGAGAATGCGGAAATTCATATAACTAACATTTTTTATCATGTAGCATTTTTGTATGTATATTTTTAAATAGCACCATACTTTTTTAACATGGTTGGGGGTTCTTCATAAATAATAGTAAAAAGAAGCATTTTCTAAGGAAAAAAATTGTATGAATAAAAGTTATAGGGCCGATATTTACTTTTTGACAGCCAGTGTACTAAAAATGGTAAACAAAAATGTACTTAAGCATAAAAAAATGATCAGTATGTTAATCCACATACTCATATGCAGGGCTTAATTGCTGTCACATATATGCTTGAAAATACACCAATACACTGCAGTTCTTTTGAATGTTAAAAACTGGGGCTGTAGATAATTAAAAAGTACCAAAATTCAAAGTATTAAAAAAGCTGTTAGAAGTATTAGGGGGATTAAAATAATGAAAAGCTATGAAACCCTTTCAGCAGAGCAATGAAATATATCTTATGATATTTCATGTTTAATAGTCCTCTTCAAAGTGCAGTTCAGTTGGTCATCTATTGTTGTCATCAAAGAAAGGAGAGCTTTCTTTGTGTTACGGGAGAACAATCAACAAACAATTCTGCATGGAAAGATATATGCACCAGTATTTCTGTTTGCGACTATTAACTTGTATTATTCTTGTCTTTTAATAGTATTCTTGTTTTAAGAGTATTATCTATAAAAAATTTTAAAGTGTGTCATTCTGTTTCATTCATTGCTGATTGAAATAACTAATCTGCAATTGTATATTTCTTATCTTTTAAAATTTTTTACTGCATTCTAAATAAGTTGCTGAAGAAAGTGCACTTTTTTCCTTTCTCTTTCCTCTGGGATGTAGCAAGTTTGTGCATCTAACTGTCTAAAGAAAATTGCTTGGTATGTGTGGAGAGATTTAAAAATAAAATCTTATGAAGTATTGAAATAAAAATTTTAGAAACCTTATCCCTGCTTCTATAATGCAATAAATGCAGACTTTGTCTTGGGGCAAGAATAAAAGAGAAAACTTATGTTTATATATATTGATAAAAATTTTAAGATGTAATGGCTATTGAAATGAAATGCTAAAAAGAACATACTTATAAAATTTCACAAGAATGGCATGTTTGATTTCGTTGCAAATAGCTCTTTGTAGCGAGAGAGAAAATAAAATTATTAAAAAGAGATTAATACTGAATTACAAATCTCAATGGGGGAGAAAGTAATGTTTCTTATAGTTGCTTATGGTAATGTTTCTTATAGTTCAAGTAGTGTGATATACAATAAAGAGAAATTCAGCTTCTAGTATCAAATTGGATTAATAATAATATAAAATTTGATAAGAAGTGGGCAGAGATTTTTGAAATGTTTTAAACAAAAATCTTACATTGCCAGTGTTTAAAAAAGTTACTGATTTGTTTTAAAACAATTTTTATTCAGATCAAAATTTTCTTTCTAGTAATATTTTGGCCATTTTATGTTTAAGAAACAAATACACAGACATAACTTTTGAAAGCTCAATTCATTTCTGAAAAATAGTGCTACTAACCATAGAAAATTAGACCTGATTAAACAACTTGAAAGTAAATGTTGATGAGATTTATGTTGACCTATATCATAGGTTCAACCTACTTCGTATTATTACTACTGAGTTTTTCCAGGCATTCCAAAGATTTCTTTGCACTCTGTCAAGTATGTCATTTAATTTGTCTTAGTACATTCCAAGCCATTGATTAGTGAATTAAAACCAAAGGCTTAAGTTTTGTATTTTCTGATCATTTAGTAAACGGATGCAAATAGAAGAACTGTGTTTGTAAGCTCACTATGATAATTCCTCATAGTTATTTATTATAAAAATAATAAATGGAAAGTTTCTCCATGCATTTAATTAATTCTCCTGTAGGAAGCTTTAGGAGAATGCTTCCTAGCAGCAATATGACCAGTCTCAGTTGTTAGTATCTATATTTCATCAACTGTGTGAATTTAAGAAAACTGGATAATTTCTAAACATTTGAGAATTCAATAGCATCAACTTAAGTGATATAATAGGGAAGGTTTCATGTGGCAGTTAAATATTAAGTGGCTATAATTGTTTATTAATGGTAATTTATTAAAATTGTTGGCTGTAGGTTTATTGTGTTATCATAGAGGCAATAAAGGAAATTTTTTTGTTTTTAGAGAATTATGTTATTGTTTATCATATTTTATATGTTTGAAGTGTTGACTTCATTTTCAGATTTTGCCTCTCAATATTTTTTTTTTTTTTTAATTTATTGGTATATTATATAGAACTTGTATAATTCCAGGAAGATGTTTTCAAGGAAGTTTTAAATCCAGCTACCTGGAAGAGTGTTTTGAATAGTAAACATGGTGAAAAATTAAAGGTATAAAATTATTCTTTTTTATTAATTAAGCAGATCTGAAGCATTAATTTCCCCCCTTGAGCAATGATGGTATTTTTATCAATCAGTAATTGCTCAGAATGACATATACAAACATGCATAGATTTTTATAATGGAAGGTTGTCTTAATTGACTTGAAATATTAAAAGCAGCACAAAAGGTCTTTTTAAAAGCTTTAATTTATTAGAAGTATTAAATATTGATTATGTTAATTGTGGTTGTTTTAGTTTTAAAAATCTGTTAGCCAGTGTGATTACTTGAAATTTGGGTTATGTAGTCTGTTTTGTCATTTTTTCCCCTTGTTTTGTCATTTTTCCCTTCTTATGTCATTTTTCCCTTCTTAAGGGTCATTTTAAGGGAAATCAGCTCGTATTCACATTGCATGTGGGAATGACCCCAAAAGTGCCAGTGCAGTTAGCCCATTTGCTAGGATGGTCCAAACTACATGTATTCATCATTTTTATCCATGCAACCACTGCTGTAGCTGTCCTTGAAATGATGTGTTTTTTATTACAGACAGCAGTTAGATATATTTAATTTTCTTTCTTATGTCATTCACAACATTGACTAATAAAAGACTAGAGCTTTTGTCTCATGAGCGGACACAAAGACCCTACTGCAAGTTATCAATCATGTTTTGGAAGTGTAAGGAGGTTTGATCTGTTGGCAGTCATTTGCAGGGAAGAAACCAATTAGAATCTCTGTCTTCTTGTCTGCATGGAAATCTGCATGAATGAATACATGTGAAATAAATTTTAAAACGAAATCTTTGCTGACCAGTGTTATCACTTTATTTTCAGTTAATATTTATTTATTATTACAGTGAAGCACCATTTACCTGTTTGTCATTTATACATCTTTTTTACATTTATACATCATTTCATCTTACTTTTGATTCAGTCTTATTTATTTTAATAGTAAAACATTTCTTTTATATGTCACAGACTGCTATAGGAGTTAAAAAAAAAAAAAAAGTTCATGAGTAGAGGAGATTACAAAATGTCACGAAAAGCAAAAAGCACTGTGGTTAAAATGCATAATTCAAATCTTAAAACAATCTGATGCGACTGCTGGTTTGAGAAAATCTAAATTTGCAAAGAACTGATATTCCTATGACAACACTAAAAATGGTTGTTTATGATAGGAAAAAAGTTGAAGAAAAAGCAGAAATTTGTGGACAGTCAGCTTCAAAGAAATTGTGTGTTCAACATGGAAAGTTTCCTGAGATTGAAACCATTTTGCTAAAATATTTCATTTAGTGTCATGCATTCAATATTCCAGTGAATGGCCCCATGGTAATGGAGACATTAAAAGAAGTAGGAATTCAACTGAATGTGAAGGAAGCTTGCTTTTTAACTGGATGGCTGCATAAATTTAATTTGCAGCATGGAATCTCATGTCATATAATAAATGAATTAATCGAAAATCATGCTTGCTGAGTTTTTTTAAGAGTCGTTCAAGACCTTCTGCACCAAAATAGATAGTTATGAATAAAAAGACATTAAATGTTGGTGAAACTGCTCTTTTCTGTAATCTCATGCCTGCAAAAACCTTAGTTTTTAAATGTAACCAATATCATGGAGCTAAGCATAGCAAAGGTCTCACCGTTTTGCTTTGTGCAAGTGCCAATGGTATGGAAAAAGCTACTCCTTTAGCTGTAGGAAAGTCACAAATAACCAGGTGCTTAAATTAACACATTAAAATTATGCCGTTAGAATATAAAGCAATGGATGACCACAGATATTTTTTACAAAATTGCTCAAATAGACAAAACTATGAGGAGATGAAACTGCAAAATTTTACTTTTTCTGGATCATTGTACTGTTCATCCTCAAGAGACACATTTCTTGCAAAATGTGAAAGTTGCTTTCTTCCTAGCAAATTGCACCAGTATAGTACAAACGTTGATATATAGTACAAACTAAAAGATTTCCATTAAGAATTTGAAAATGTTTTATAGATAAAGCTTGATTCAAATAGCCCTTCAAAATATAACTACAGAAAATACACAGAAAAATTTAAATATGGAGGCAATGAATATGTTTTCAATTGCTTGGACTCAAACCAAAAGCAATTAAAAATTCCGTCATTAAATAGGGATTTTCAAACCCAAACTCGAGTAAAAGTGTTGAGTATAACAATGATTAAACTGATTTTGAATCAAGAAGATTGGTTTGGTTTATGTGATTCTGGCAACTCCTTGAGGGCCTAAGGGCAAGGATGCCTTCGTGGAGGACATTCTATGTAAAAATGATTCATATACATGTTACACATTGGAAAAACCACAAAAAATACCCAAGAAGCCAGACATTTCAAAAAATGAATTCGATTCATAATGCTTTGCTTTAGATTCAGAATCAAAAGCCATGTCAGAGCTGCCGCTAGACTTTTAGCTGCCCCATGCAAACACTGCGAATCCAAAATTATCCTTCGCGATTCCTTCGTAAATTCTAACAATTCTGCTGCACTGAATGTACATGCTCTGGTGCCAGCCTTGCGTGTCAGACAACAGTTAAAGACTTTTCCATTAAAAGTTACATTTTGCTTTCAAATGCTCCTTACTCAAGATGGTAATTCAGATAAAGATATGACCCTTTTTTTCCCAGTGTTACATAACTACGTGCAGAAATTTGTTTCTTACGTTTTAAAAAATAAATCATTGATCAATTCATTAATATCATTATTAAAATATTAATTATATTGTTTAAAATATTAATATCAATTCAATATTTATTTAAAATAATTATTTTAAGTTTGTTTGAACATAGCTAATATCTAAAAAAATTTAAAGTATACTAAGAAAATTCTGCAGCTAATATATGTATATATATATATATTTACGAAAAAAATATTGATTATATTATCTCCTAATATAAATTTAGTAGAATTTATCAAAAAAGAGTGAACCCATATGTAGGAAGTTTAATTCCGTAATAAAGTAACCTGAATGTAAATCATGAAAAAAAAAAAAAAAAAAAAAAAAAGCTTTAAGGGGACTTGAATTTAAATCATGAATAACAAAATTTCAAACTTTGAAAAAGGAATTAAAAGTTAAAAGCAAGTAATTATTGATCGGATATTAGTTGACTTTTCCAGGGAACCAAACCAACTCCCGTTCAATGAACAATAATTAATAAATGCGAAGGTGTTTCGGCGTTTACTCAAATAAGAATGAGGATGCCAAACTGGCAAATTAAGTTGGGCCAAAATTGCAGTTCTATGAGGTGATGGGATTTATAACCAAAGTAGAGTACCAAAGAACTCACTCTGAATGAAGCATTTTCTCTAATACAAGATTCTTTAGAAATTTTGAGTGAAAAGCTAATTTATGTAGTAAAATTTACAAAATACTTGAGTAAATGAAGTACTTGAGTACTTCACTTTTATGCATGTTAATTCAAGACTATTTTTATAAAAATAAACATAATAAACAGTAGTAATCTTAATATGAATTATGGAAATTGAATTAAATATGAGAAAAATAAGAAACATACCAATGCTATCTTTGTAAAAACCAATCGATACTATTCGGTTTTGAGGGCTGTAAAAAATCGCCAAACTATTTTTGATGCCAGTGCTGCCAAAATAATTGCGGCAACCCTAACGCAAGAAAGGAAGTAGTAATAGTAAATAACTATCTAAGATTGATGTTTTAATTTAGATGAAAAGTTAATTTCATATAATACTTTTTTATTATTATAAAAAAAAGGCTAAACATGACTGAATGGAAGCATAAGAGCAAATAACTATTTCAGATCATTATTATAATTTATATAAAAATTGCTAAACATAACTAAATGGATGCCTGCATCGCTATTTCATTAATAAGTTATCGCTAAAGCATAATTTCATTTCGTTGGTTGTTCAAACATAATTTTCTATAATGAATGGTGCCCTTTTCTTTGAAAAATTCCTAGTAAAAGGCAGAATCGCCCATTTATTTGTTTGCCGCTTTTTACAAGGGTAAAAATAATTGGATTTTTGTCAATTACTTTTTAAGTGAAAATAGGTTGATGTGTACATGGATAAAGTCAACGGTGTGCGCAGTGCCATTTTTGTGCAATTCTGAGAATTATTTTTGTAGTAAAAATAGGTTGATGTGTACATGGATACCGAGTATGTGCTATTCTTAAAAACTCGTCAAGCAGTGGATGATTCTATATTTTACCCAAAATTTTATTGCAGACTTTTTGTCATGGGCAATTCCTAAATTGTTAAATCCATAGGATAACAAAAAGGGATTTAAAATCAAAAAAGGATTTAAAAATTAAACTAGTATTTCAATGCCATCTTAAGAAATATAGAACTGTATAAACTTACGCAATCTGAAATCAACGTGTACGCTAGATTTGGAGCGCTGTTAAATGGACGCTTTTGCACATACATTTTCGCTGCAATTTTTTTACGATCCTCAAAATGGAATAATACCAACAAATCAAATAAACGTTGAAAAATTTAAATATATAATAAATAAGAATAAATATTTCTTATTTATATATATAATAAATAAGAATAAATATTTCTATTAAATAAGAATTCTTATTTAAATAAATAAGAATGTGAAATGTACATGAAGATATAAAGGCCAGAAAATGCATTAATTAACTTACTTTCTTTTTAGTGGGATGTCGGTAAAGTGTTCTCTTCTGTGTCTTACTCAGAAGGGGTGTGTGTCCGAAATTCTGTCATACTTTGAATTATTACAGGCAGTGAAACTTTTGAGAAGCTATTTTTGGGACATGGGAAGGAGTAGGAATGTTTGAGGGGCATTTGTTGTGGAGTTCTTATGTAAGTGAAAACGCCTGTGGAAATTTTGAATGTACTAACTAGTAAATGGAAATTAATTAATTTCTTGCTAATTGTCATGTCAGAACGAGGAAAAAAAGAAGAAAGAGAAAAAGAGTAATTTTCACTGTCAACAAGCTATTTGACAGACTAAAGAGTATGAAATAGGCTCATTTTTTTAGTAACAGTCAGAAAAC